CAGCACAGCCAGAGACTTCATGACCATGTTGAGGATGGCTTCATGGCCTAACCTATTACGGCTGGGATTAAAGGGCAAAGGCTCAACCTAGGGGTGGCTCTGACAGGCATAGTGACAGCTACATGATGAGGTCTGCAGGTCCCTGTGCAAGGCCAGAAACGCCACTGCCCCTGCCCCAAGAGCCCTTACCTTCTGAGTACCCGCACGCCTGGGTCAGAGCCCGGCACTGTGCCAGCAGGGATGCGTGGGACACGGTGACCCCCACTGTGCTGCCTTCTTTGCTGGTTTTATACTGAAAGATTTCAAGGAAAAAAACATCTTGTGGTATTTCTAGAGGCCACACCAGACAGAATGGAGGCTGATGGAATCTTTAGAAGCAGCAGCATAAAGCATTGGGCACAGTGGCTATTGCCTGCATTCTCAGCTGCCTGAAAGGCTGAGGCAGCAGCAGCATCACTTGAGCCCAGCAGCTGAAGGCCAGCCTGGGCAATAAAGCGAGACCCCATCTTTACTAAAAAATTAAGGAAGTAGCTGGTGTCTCCCCTTTGCTAACCCCAGGCCCTGGCCCATGAAAGGACACTATGGACACAGTTGTGGCTCTCTCTGGCAGGGGACCAAAAGCAATGGTACACGTGGCTCCATCGCAATGGTTTATACCCTGGGGGCCAACTGGGGAGAATCAGGTGAGAGTGAGACCTGAAAGGGTGTATGCAAGGTTTTACATGATACTTTATATTTTGGGGTCAGAGATGAAACAATGAGAACTCAGCCTTAAGTTTAAAAAAACAATAGCAGCTTATGTGCTCATGAAAAAACGAAGCCCAAACCTCTGGCATATGCCTTCTTGTATTCCAAGTCACGAGTGGCAATTACCTCAATGTAGGCGGTTCTAGCCCCTGTGTCTTGGGCCAGAGGGTACCAGTCCTTGGGGGGTTTGGCCAGATGCTTCCCATCAATCACCAGCCAGGACAGGGGTGGCCAACCTGTGACCAGACAGATAGGAAAACACCTTAATGTTAGAGGGTCTGGCTACCCACACACAGAGCTTGCACCTCCAATGCAGAATTACCCACTGAGTAACTAAGGAGCTCACAATTCAATGTCGTTTTATTAGTCACTTTAAAGAAGTACATCAGGCCAGCACCTACCATAAGAGACTGCACAGACAGGAGAACATCAGACGAAAATCAAGATTCACCAATGCCTTGAACAAGGTATCACTTTTGGTAAGAACCCTGTAGCCTCTCTATGGTTTAATTTCTGGAACAGCAACACGGGGGGTAAGGGCAGCCTAACAAAGACCACATCAGAACACTGGTGCTCTTTCCACAGAGGCCTCACCTTTGAAAGTTGCCACGTCTCCTGTCTGTGCCTTGGGCAGGCCTTTCTGACAAGCATCTGTGGTCAGGGCCAGGGTGACTCCACAGCTGCCCAGTAGAAACCCCACCTGCTGGCTGCCTGCATCCTGTAGAGAACAGAACAGCAGCTGGGGACAACAGCCACAGACCCTCAGGACTCTAGGCCATGCAGAGAATACAGCTTTTTTCCTCACACCTCATAAAACTACTAGACCAATTCACTCCTATTTTTGGCATATGAGATAGGTTCATAGAAATAGTTCATGAAAATATGAATTATTTTTAAATTTGAAAAATATTTTCAGTTTGTTTTTGTAGTGAAATATAAAGTTCTACATAATAGGCTAATTTCTCAAAGTTTATCTTTTATTGTTTTTATTTTTTTTGAGACAGAGTCTCACTTTGTCACCCTCGATAGAGTGCCATGGCATCACAGGTCACAGCAACCTCAAACTCTTAGGCTTAAGATATTTTCTCTTGCCTCAGCTTCCCAAGTAGCTGGGACTACAGGCGCCTGCCACAACGGCCGGCTATTTTTTTTGTTGTTGTTGCAGTTGTCATTGTTTAGCTGGCCCAGGCCAGGTTCAAAAACACCAGCCTTGTGTATGTGGCTGGCGCTGTAACCACTGAGCTATGGGCACTGAGCCTCAAAGTTTATTCTTACAAATGACATTTAGAAGCATTTTAATAAACTCTAAAAATAATCATATTGAAATTTCTATTGAATCATGTTTGAAATTTACAAATTAATCTTGGAGGCCTGACCTATAACAATATTATTAATCATTTCTACACAGAAATATGTGTTTTCTTCTGGCTAAATAGCAAACCTTTGTTGTTTTCTTTGTATGAGTTTGACAAATCTCCAGTTTTTTCCTAAGAATCATTGAATTAAAAGTAAAAGACCTTTACATCCTCTGAGATATACTGGTTTTGTCTGCAAACTTCACTATTGGGATGCGTGCATATTTGTGGATAATGTTCACATTAACAACTGCCTGAACACTGGAATAGGATGACAGAAAACTCTAAATTTGTAAAACATATGCCTAGTCTACTAATAAATGGTATCTTTCCAATCATCTGATCACTGATATTTATTTCAGGTCTAAAATGTAATAGCTACCTAGAACATCAGTAAGTTCCCATATTAGTTATTTGTTGGTAATAAAAACGGCTTTCTGTCATGTAAGTGAACAGAAATACAAGAGAATTTGTTTATCCAAAACAGTGAGCTATACTATCACTGTAATGGTATTGTATTTATCCCTAAGAAATGGAAATTATTATCAACAAACATGGTTTTCAGGAAAAGTTTAACAAAATCCTATTGAATTGGGCAGCACCTGTGGTTCAGTGAGTAGGGCGCCGGCCCTCTATACCGAGGGTGGTGGGTTCAAACCCGGTCCCAGCCAAACTGCAACAAAATAATAGCCAGGCGTTGTGGCGGGCACCTGTAGTCCCAACTCTCAGGAGGCTGAGGCAAGAGAATCACTTAAGCCCAAGAGCTGGAGGTGGCAGTGAGCTGTTGCAGTGATGCCACGGCACTCTACAGAGGGTGACAAAGTGAGACTCTGTCTCTAAAAAGCAAACAAACAAAAATCTTGTTGAATCACAAATTCTATTCATTAGAAGGAAAAAAGCCTATCATTTTTGTTGGTAAATTCAAACAGGTGCCAGAACAATTCCAAGTGACAAGGGTGTTCCAAGTGCCTCTCGCCAGCAACACAAGACATTATCTACAGACAGCGTTGGCCTTCCTGACATCATCTTCCTCTTCTTATCAAAACAGCTGCTTGCTGTTGGCCACATTGAGGGAAGCTTGAGTACAGGGGAAGCTACAAACCACTGACAGTGACGACACCCACACGCAGGCTGAGCCCCAGCTTCACTACCTTTCTTGTTAATGGCACTTCTATAGGGACAGGAACCAGCTCTGCCAGGAGACACCCATAAAACGCAACCATGAACATCACAGGGTCGCTATTTGGGAACACGAGCGCCACCTGCAACAGTACAAAGAAAAACATGAAATCTGCTTGGGAATAGTTGAGTCTTCTCAATATTTATAGATGGAACTATAGATTAGATGGAACTCAGACATTTTAGATTCACTTACAGTTTTCCAAATTTAGTTCAGAAAATTTAATTTTGGAATTAACTTTTGGTTAAATTTCCTTATTCATGTCATTTTTAATAAATAGTTTTTAGGTTTAGGTCTTTATTCCACATGTAACAAAATCATTTTAAACTTCTGGGTTTAAAATCCACTAGGCCAGGTCTGGCTGTGGGATCGAGATCCAGTTCCCATCCACAACAGCATCATTCACCCTTCATTAGCCCAGGTGAAAAACACCTTTACCAACATAGAAAGTGAACAAGGAATAAAATTATATCTAAAACAATAGTTTCCAAAAGAAAAACTTCTAACACCAAAGCTCTGCAGAGATACCCAAAGCCTCCTGAACATCTGTCCCATGGGTGGGGCACTCCTTGGTCCTACCTGGTCACTAAGTTGCCACTATTTTAATTGTAAGTTCTACTTTATTTATCTTACATTTTAATTTTTATCTTTAAAACACAGATTTAGGCTTGGCACCTGTAGTTCAGCGGCTAGGGCGCCAGCCACATATACCAGAGCTGGCGGGTTTGAATTCAGCCCCAGCCTGCCAAACAACAATGACTACTACAACCAAAAATAGCTGGGCATTGTGGCAGGCACATGCAGTCCCAGCTACTTGGGAGGCTGAGGCAAGAGAACTGCTTAAGCCCAAGGGTTTGAGATTGCTGTGAGCTGTGATGTCACAGCACTCTACCAAGGGTGACAAAGTGAGACTGTCTCAAAAATAAAAAAGTAAATAAAAAATAAAAAAACCCCACAGATTTAAATTGCCAAAAGTACTAATGAAAAGAAACAGCTCACACACTACCCTTCTCCATTCCCCAAAGCAACCACTTTTTAAAAATTTTAGATTCTTCTTTCATTATTTACTCTTATATTTTAAAAAATATAACTTATACATTGCTATATTTTGTTTTTAAAATTTATAGACATCTACTTTACTTCCTGTTGATGAATGTTCAGCCCTGCTTCCCTCCTCCATCAGTATGATCCTCATTTCTTACAATATCTGGTTAAATTAAAAGCTATTTATGGAACAAAATATTATAATAGTTGTGCCTAAAACCATAAGTGATAAGTCAGAATAGTATGTAACAGAATAGGCTGTTAACACAGGGACTTTCAGAACATATAATGGTGGAGAACCAATAACCCTTCACTTTATAAGACAAAATTTAAGGTATCTTATTTTGTATTTGAGGTCTGGAAGTTGAGTTTCTAACAAGTTTGTTTTCAAAAGCATCTCCTTCAAAATTTTATTTTTATAGTGGTTGTGCCAGAACCTATAATCTTGAGACCAGATGTTCGGTATGGAACACATTATTCTAGAGAATTTGTTGTGAACAGTTGTGTTCATTTTTATGAAGTCTAATGTCATGGGAGGTGAAATTTGGCACCAATCCCTCATAATCAACTCACTCTCTGTGACCTTGTTATCTTCTCACTATTAACCCAACTATTGTATGTGGATTCTCCTGTGTGTCAAGAAAGTATCTGGAGGTCTTTGCGCCTGCAAGGATGTTTTCCAAGAAAAATAAATCAGTGACTCTTGTATTCACTCTAAAGCACAACATAAAATCTCCTTTGCGAGCACAACACATCATAATCTCATTCTCATATTGTTTGGATTCTACGGCCAACTCCAAGTTTCCTTCCTTTTCTGATGGTGAAGGCACCAGCATTATCACTTGCCTTCTCTATGTATGTCCCAGCCGATCTGTCCTAAAATGCTCTACCAGATGTGACAAATACCTGGCAATTGTATTTTCCAAGTAAACAGCCAGGTGAGCCCACTACACGTGTCCCCTGCTGTCCACTCCACCCTGGGGCCTCAGGCCTTCTGTCGTGTCTGGGCTGCTTCTTGGTCACCTGCTTGTGGCCACCCTGGACTTAGCTGTAGCTCTCCTGCTTGGGCCCCATTCACTCATCTGGCTGAGGCTTATGCTCTAGAGACTTTGCCAAGGAAGTGTGCTTATAAGTCAAAGTGTTCTGAGTCCCGCACATCTGAAAATGGTATGTCAGCCTCACATTTGGTGAGTCTCTGGAAATAGGGCTTCTGAAGTTCTGAAGTATCACTGCACTCTCTCCCAGTTTCATCACTGAGAAGCCTGCAAGCCACCATGACTGGAGATCGTCCACGTTAAGTCCTACTTTTGTTCCCCTGACATCTGTGAGGTTCTCCCCTGGGGTCATGCACTGGCACAGGTTTGTGATTCAGTCAAGTTCACTGCATTTGCTCTCCATGTCACCATGTGTGACACTCTTCTTTCTCATCCTGGACTCCTGTCATCCATGTGATGTTGGGTCTTCTTGATCAAGTCTTTAATTTTGTCCTCTGTTGCCTAGTACTTTGCATTTCTTGGTTTTCTTACTAGCATCCTTTTCATGATGTATGGAACATCTCTATCTTGGATCTCTGAGGATATTAACACTGGCTTAAGGGAAATTTGTCTTCTGTTATCTACTTTCCTCTAAATATGTTTGCTCCTCCATCCCTCTCACTCTCTTCCCTTTTCCTTGCCTTTGGTTGTTTTCGTTCCTACTGATGCTTTCCTCTCAACTGTCCCTGGCTCCTGGTGAGGCAGAAAGGGTCCTTGTGACTGCTGGCCAGCTTGTCATCCTTAGGGGTCCTAACACAGGCGACCTCTTCACTAGGGGATTTCACTGATATGTAGGTTGGTTTTCATCATATTCTCCTGTTTCCTATCTGGACATTTTAGCCCACCTGGGCACCTCCAGCCTGGTTCACCTTGCTATACTGCTACTATCCAACAGAGCCTTCTGGGATGATGGAAATGTTCTAGCCATGTGTGGCTACTGAGCCCTTGAAATGTGGCTTTTATGAATGAAGAATTAAATTTTTATTTAATTTTGGTTATTTAAATTTATCTTTTTCCCTATCTCATGTGGGCTGCCAGCCATGAGGGCCATGCAGCCAAAAGTACATGCCTGCGGCTCCCCTTTGTCCTGTTTGGCAGACAGGCCAGAGGTGCCACCTGGACACATGGGCAGGGAAGAACATAAATACAAAGCCAAGCGTCAAAGTCAGGCCAGTGTTAACTCACAAAACTTAAGTTCTGGATATTTAACATTTATTCCTATCAGCACATTTGAAGTCTACCAGAAAAGAAGATGAAGAATGAGCAGATGATGACAGAATGAGGCTCATACATCACAGACTTTTCCCATTTCAATGTTTTTTCATTGCTGACTTTCAATGCCCATATTAATGCTATGAGTCTAACCAACAGACAGAATGCTGATTTCAGTGAAACAGGTTTTTAAAGTCTTTGTTTTTGCTCATTCAACAAAGTTACCTTCTAGTTACTTACTCTGTCTCCAGGTTTAAGTAGTGGTTCATTCTTACTAGTCAGTTTATTAAGTAGAGTATAAGCTAGCTTTAAACTCCGACTCCAAAGTTTGCCTAAAATAAAATAAAAATATTAAGCAATGTAAAATTCAAGAAACTAATAATTAACATTTTAATGTAGCAATCATAAAGCCCTATAACATACCATTATCCTATTACTGGAAATTCAGACACTTTCTTACTCACAACTATTATGCACAATGCTGTGATAAACATAACAGTTTTCTCTTAAAAATAAATTTACTTTTGTTAACATAAAAATAAAACAGGATCTTATTATAGAAAATTCAGAATATAGACAAGTCAGTAGAAAAAGCCAGTATTCTACACACATATATGAATATGTGTGTACACACGCAAATATTCACATATGCAATTTTCAAGAAATGAGATCAGAGTACACCCCAGTTTTCTAATTAACTGTGAATGCATTTTTGTGACATTAACTATCCCTCAATTACACCAGTTACAGGAATGGCTCATAATTCACTTAATCTTTACAACAGTTCCTGAGGTAGGTCATATCTTTGTCTCTATTCTTTCCTCAAGAGAGCCATCCAATACCCTGCTTTAGAGCAGGGTATTGGGCCTTACGCCAGGTACAGGGCCCAGGAGTCTTCGCCCTGTGGGGTAGTCCCTGCTCTTAAGCCTGCTGACAGCCAAGACACAAGCTATGCACCAGGCCCTGCTGGGGTGAGCACAACCAAGGAGAGCTTCACTGAGGGAAGGGGAAGATGAGACAAGGAAGCCCAGAGGACTGAGGGTGTCCAGGCAGGCTGACACAGACACGAGTATAATGGGACAGGAGGACTAAAACCTGAGTGTACCTCAACACCTGAATCAGCTATAACACGCCCCCATTTACCTCCCCTCAAGCTCCTGGTGGCTCAACCACACTAAAGCTAAGCGCCCAGGCCCTCCACATGAGTGCTCAAATCCCACAGTAATAATACAAAACTCAGGTACAACACTGTGAAAGAAGTGAACTGTGGGACCAGAGAAATAAACAAGAAAAAAAATATTCAACTCAAAACACTGTTTTAGCCTTTTCTAAAAGATTAAATTAAAATGGTAATAGTTGTTAATACATAAAGATTTCCAAACAGAATCCACCTATATGTAAAAAAGAATTATGCATCATGACCAAGCCAGTTTGATCCTGGGAATGGATGCAAAGTTTAACAGAAAATCAACTTAATTTGTTACATTAAAAGAATAAAAGTTAAAAAAAAAATCTTCTCAATGGATGGCAGAAAATAACAATCATTCATGATTTTAAATGAGTATAAATGACTTTTTAAATCACTTCAGAAGACAGGATAGGGAATTTGAATAAAGGAAAATATTCAAACTGAAGTATTATTTTAAAAAGCCAAAATATAAAAAAGAACACTAAAGCAATGCAGGACTCAGAGAAAAGGTAAAATATAGTGTAATATAACTGGAGTCCCAAAAGAAGAGAAGAAAAAAATTGAGGAAGAAGCTATGTATCAAGAGATGATGGCTGTAATTTTCTAAAATGGGTGAAAGACACCCTGTGGACTTCTTGAAAATTTTAAAGAACATCACAGGAAAATTTCAAAGAACATCACATCTAGACATGTCATAGTAAGATAGCTGCAAGCCAAAGAAAAAGAACATTTTTAAAGCAGCTGGAGAAAAAAAAGACATAACATTATCAAAAGGACAATAGTCCGCTATCTTCTCAAAATCTAATAACAGTATCTTTATACTGCTGTAGGAGGATAAATGGCTATCAAATATAACCTTCAGAAATGAAGATGAAATAAATTGTTGTCAGGCAAGCACTGAGAGACTTCTTTAGCAGCAAACCTATTAAATAACAAACAGGCAGAAAGTTCTTCAGGCCTGAAGGAAATGATTATGCAGGAAAATGTGGGACTGCAGGAAGGAAAACATAGTGAAAAAAAGAATTAAGAATGTACGACTGACTTTTAAAAACAGTGGCAACAATATCTTACGCTGTATAAATAACAAGGAGAATGCAAAAAAAGAGCAAGTGTGCCACAGAGACAAACTCAGCCAGACTCTGTTTTACTAGAGAACAAACTGTAGGACAGGGTTTCTGCAAGGGAAATCTGCTGAGCAGACATGACCAGACCCCTGCTTCACCACCATGCTAAGTTTCTGGCCGCAGGCTGCCCCACCAATAGCATGACTTAGACCTGAAAGCTGAATTTAACCAGTAGAGCTAACTGTGTTCCTTTATGAAGGAACTACAGATCTCTAATGAACACAGACATAAAAACTCTAAACACCACATTGGCTAATCAAATGTAGATGTGTATTTTAAAAAGGTAAACTATCATAGCCATGTGGGATTTATTCTAGGAATGCAGGGCGACTTAAAGTTTGAAAATTAATCAATGTAATTCACCAAATTAATGGGGGAAGGGAGAGGGAAAAAAACCCACATGATCATCTTGCTAGAGTAGAAACAGCATTTGACAAAATTCAGTCCTAACCATGATAAGAACTTTTAGCAAACAAAGATTAGAAGGAAACTTTCTTAATCTGACAGTTTCTACCAAAAAACAAGCAAACGAAACTACAGAAAGCGTCATACCTAATTACCAAAGGCTTTTCCTCAGATGGAGAAAGAGGCAAGAAGGCCAACTCTCCAACACTGTTGTATTCAACATGGTATTGGAGGTTCTAGCTTGTGAGGCAAGAAAAAGAATAAAGGTATAAGTACTGAAAGGACAAAATAATAATCATTGGCCACAGATGACATGATTCTTGTACACAGGAAATCCAAAAGATACATGGACAAACTACTAATTAATGAACAAACAATTAATATGTTAACTTAGAAAGATCACTGGATGCAAAGCCACTATTTAAAAAAAAAAAAAACTGCACTTCAATATATACAAAGCTGTATAAAAATAAAAAATTATACAATTTACGGTAGGAATAAATCTCATAAAAATGCTTAAGACTTCTGTACTCACATGTATAAAAATATATACTTTTTGGGCACAGTGGCTCAAACCTATAAACCCAGCTACTTGGGAGGCCAATGTGGAAAGACTGCTTGAGCCCAGAAGTTCAAGACCACTCTGGGCAACACAGCAAGACAAAAAAAAAAAAAAAGTGTGTGAAAATATTACTGAGAGAAAAAAGATAGGCCTTTAAAAAGGGAAAAATATTACACAGCCATAAAATGGAAGATTACATAATTGTAATACAGGTTGAATGTTCCTTATCCAAAATGGTCGGGAACAGCAGTGTTTCAAACTGTGAATTTTTTCGGGTTCTAGAATATTTACACTATATGTACTTACTAGTTGAGCACCCCAAAGCTCCAGTGAGCATTTCTTTTGGGCAAGCATCCTCAAACTACAGCCCACAAGCCACATGTGGCCCGCCGGGTGTTTTTGCCACTGCTGCCTGTCCTGCTTAGCAGCCAACTCATCCTGGGGCCTGCACTCCGACCTTCCAACCGTCTGAGGGACAGTGAACTGGCCCCTTGTTTAAAAAGTTTGAGGCCCACTGCTTTTGGGCATCATGTCTGTATTCAAGAAGTTCCTAATTTTAGAATGTAGGATTTAGGTAACTTAACCTGTGATATTCAAATCTCTTCAAATTGAACTATAGACAAGGCAATGCTAATCAATAGTCTAATAGGAAAGCTGATGGAAATTGACAAGTTGATTGTGAAGTGTACTTGAAAATGCAAAGGGCCAAGCATAGTTGAGGCAACCCTGAGGGACAGTCACAGAGCTGAGGATCAGACAGCTGCAGCAGCGCAGAGCATAGACAACAGACTGAAGAAAACAAAGGAGCTCAGGAACAGACCCATGAGAATATTTCTCATTGGATATATGACTCTGGGGAAAGGA